ACTCAAGAAAGTGCCTCAAATTTTTTTATGATTATATTTCACACAGTTCATTGATAAGACATTTATTTGTTATATTTTGACGAAATGCAAAATTGTAAATGTTTAAATTAAAATGCTATATTTGCCTATTTCTCCATATACCACTTTTAGACTTAGTCCTCATTTCGATGTGATGGGTCACATTTGTTTAAAATCTTAACTCTTTACAGTAGTTTCTTGAATCTGAAGCACCTGGAAAAAAATGTTTGTTTCAAATTTTGCAACTTAGCAAAAATAGTTTGATTAATAAAATCATTGTATGAATTTATAAATTCGGTGATATAATGTAATCATTGGATGTTTATCTAAAGTTGATTAGTTTTAGAGGGAYCCCTGACATCTTTTTCAGTTTCAGGCATTTCTACATTCTTCTCTGTCAACGCGCTCTAGTTTAATTTAATGTGGCTGATTGTCAGATACTGTCAAAATTAATCTTCAGGGTGGATAGAGCTCACAGCCTCGCACCAGAACACCTAATGTCTTTTTATACACTTTGTGCATAAATAGTATGGTATTATTTTTTTATTTATAAAAACTAAAGTATTTTTACAGTCTAGTAAATATTTGTGAAATAATATCCCTTAAGAGACAGTCCAATTCAAGATGGCCGCCAAAGCCAACTGATGTTAGAAAGCGTGCATGAAGGGGAGTGGGCAGTATGCATTAATCAAAGAATGGTGGTCCTTTTTATATTTTAAGGGTTCATAAATGGTTTTGAAGTTGACACTCGGGGCACTAAAATAAAAGTTGTCTTTTTTATTATTATAATTTTTTTTGTGATTTTATTTCAGCGCTGAACTGAATGACAAGTGTGAACTCACAACAACATGGCTCACCTTTTCATTTCTCACACCTTTCCCTCAGAGTCAGAGCGCGACTGTATAAGCTCGGTACATGGAAGGTGTCGAGAACCTCTCTGTTGGTTTTACCACACATATCACTGACTCGGTGGTAAAGTCTCACCCTTCCCAAAGTACAGGCGAGGAGGCAGGCTGTAGCTATGACAACCATGAAGGAGGCGAAAACGACTGGGTAAAAGGATTGAAGGTTTTAAGCTCTACTGTTAAAATCTACTGTCTGAAGCCTGGGGCAAGTTTTATTCAGTCTTTGTCACTTGTGTGTGTTGATACAAGTGTGGCTGAGATAAACGGAGACTCAAAGCTGCTTTTTCCTCCTATATTTTCCTGCCGTTTTCTTGCTCTATTTGAGCTCTCTGTCAGACCAATGCAAGCTATTTGAAGAGTTTATTCACCAGTTACTCAATGTGGCCCGAAAACCTGGAGAAAAAAAAGGCTGAATCATATCTATTAGTTGCAAACACTTGCGTGGCTAATTGAATGGAAGGAAACACTTCACAGGGGAGACACAAAGCAGCAGCACAGTGGATGTGACATCAAATAGACCATATAATAGCCTAATATAATCGCATAACTGGGCTTTATGTTCGTATTTAGTCTTTGAGTGAGATCACTCTTTGATTAGATGTGAGTCTGTGTTAAATTTCTTTTGTCARGTTTTGTACAGTATTACAAAATCAGGATTTTATTTCTATTCAGATTTATCTTTGAATGTTTTAACAAACACATCTTTGTCCAAAAGGCAAGACTTTTAGTGATCACCACAAAATAACTTGTTGGAAGATATAAACCTAATGATGCATTTGTTGTTTTTACATTAAATTTATTATCTCTTGTTATAAAGGATTTTCACGGTGTGTCGTCTTTTATATGTATTAATCAGACCGCCTACACGGTGTGAATCTAAAAGGCAGTTTTTAATGTCTACTATAGGCCTGATGTGTTAATGTTCATCTGCACAAATACTTACCTGCTTGGTTTCAATTAAGCTCTTAAAACAAATTTACTGGATCTTTTTTTTAATGGAAATAGAAAATTGTTTAAAGAGCTGCAATTAGAAAAGCAATGCATCCCAGTGCAGATTCTGCTGCTGTAATGTTATACTTTAAACTAATTTTACACAGCAGATGCTTTACTCGTAACTCATTAGGATTTCAAATTTTCATTTCTGCCCATGGAATCAGGATCTAACAGGTTTTTTATTTTTTTGTACTGTAAACTTTGCTTCAGCTATATCCACTTTTGCAGTAATCAAAGTTTGATTGGTCAGGTTTTTTTTTTTTTATATAAACCAATGAAATGAAATACAAATTATATTTAAACATTTCTGCAATAAAAAAAAGCTTTTTTTGTGTGTGTNGGTCAGCTGAGCTCCTGTGCAGCGGAGCAGAGAGGGAGAGAGACGAAGTAAACAAACAAGCAGGAAAATGAAACTTATCGCCGTCTTTTTTTTACCGACCTCAAAAAAAGTTATCGTGCAATTAATTGATTTATTGTCTATCGCGACAGGCCTAAAACTGAAACAGGACTTGAACAAAACAAACAGTTTTCTTGTTTGTTCACATACCTTACATTTTTTCAGTTTTTTTAAAGTAAGATTTCACTTTTACATTTGTGTAAACTGACTTCAATGAAACACCTACGATTCCTTCTTAGAATGGAGATCCCCTGCTGCCTTTTACGCCAGAGTTTTAAAGAGGACATGTCATGCAAAGTAGGCTTGAGGGGTACGACTGTATTTTGGTGTACCACAGTATAGAAATTTAAAAATTATGATTGTATCAGTCACACGTGACACACCAAATTTTCCGCAATTCCCATAAGGCTGGGACATAAACATTTGAGGATC